ACAACCCAAGACTAGAACACAGGACAGAGCAATCAGGTATCAACCCAGAATGGGAAGTCACAAAAATAAATCAAAGCTAAAACACTGAAAATAGGGAAACAGAGATGTCAATCTGTAAAAGATGACAACTTTAAAAAAAAAAAAAGAGGTACTAAAAAAGTAGTCACAGATCTTTCATACAGAGAGGAAGTCAGGGCAATATAAAGAAATAAAAGACTGGTTTAAAATTAGAAAAATAGAGGCAAATATTATTAAGGTAACCACAAAGGAAACTAACAATCCCACACATCAAAATAAAAAACAAGAAAAACATAAAGACTCAGCAAATACAAAATCAACAACAATGAAAAAGATGAAAAGAAAATACATAAAGAAAAATGACTCAGTACAGAAAATTAAGTGGAATAAAGTAACTGTCAACAATATACAAAAGAAAAAAATACATCAAAATGACAACACTAAACTCATACCTATGAAAAATTATGCTGAATGTAAATGGACTAAATGTACCAATAAAGAGACAGAGAGTGGCAGAATGGATTAAATAAACATGATCTGTCTATATGCTGCATACAAGAGACACGCCTTAAAGACACAAACTAAAACTCAAAGAATGGAAAAAATATATCAAGGAAACAACACTCAAAAAATAGCAGGATTGGCAAGACTAATCTGAAAAAACAGACTTAAAAGTAAAAGCCACCACAAAGGATAAGAAAGGACACTATGTAATGATTAAAGAGTCAATACACCCAGAGGACACAACCATAATAAATATTTATGCACCCAATGACAGGGCTCCAAAATACATAAAACAAACTCTAACAGCATTGAAATGAGAGATAGACAGCTCCACAATAATAGTAGGAGACTTCAACACACCACTTTCGGTGAAGGACAGAACATCCAGAAAGAAGCTCAGTAAAGACACAGAAGATCTAAATGCAACAATCAACCAACTTGATCTCATAAACATATACAGAACACTCCACCCAACAGCAGCCAAGTATACTTTCTTTTCCAACGCACATGGAACATTCTCCAGAATAGACCACATAAGGCCATAAAGCAAGCCTTAACAGAATCCAAACATCAAAATATTACAAAGCATCTTTTCTGACCATAAAGCCATAAAAGTAGAAATCAACAACACAAAAAGCAAGGGAAAAAAATCAAATACATGGAAACTGAACAACACCTTGCTCAAAAACTACTGGGTTATAGAAGAAATTAAGGATGGAATAAAGAAATTCATAGAATCAACAGAAAATGAACACACATCCTACCAGCACCTTTGAGACACAGCAAAAGCAGTGCTCAGAGTGAGTTTATAACAATAAATGCACACACCCAAAAAGAAGAAAGGGCCAAAATCAAAAAATTAATCCTACAACTTGAACAAGTAGAAAGAGAGCAGCAAAGGAAGCCCTCAGGCGCCAGAAGAAAGAAAACAGTAAGAATTAGAGCAGAATTAAGTGAAATAGAGAATAGGAAAACAACTGAAAAACTTAACAAGACCAAAAGCTAGTTCTTTGAAAAGTTCAACAAAATTGATAAACCACTGGCCAAACTGAAAAAAGAAAAACAGAAGAGGAAGCAAATAACCTGAATAAGAAATGAGATGGGTGATATCACAACAGACTCAACTGAAATTAAAAGAATCCTAACGGAATACTATGAAAAACTGTACCCTAACAAATTTGAAAACCTAGAAGAAATGGACAAATTTCTAGAAACTCACCGCTTACCTAAACTAACACAGACAGAGGGAGAACAACTAAATAAACCCATAGCAAAAGAAGAGATTGAAAAGTAATTAAAAAACTCCCAACAAAAAAAAGCCCTGGCCCGGACAGTTTCACTGGAGAATTCTACCAAACTTTCACAGAAGAGTTAACACCACTACTACTAAAGGTATTTCAGAGCATAGAAAGGGATGGAATACTCCCAAACTCATTCTATGAAGCCAGTATACCCCTGGTACCAAAATCAGGTAAACACACCAAAAAAAAAAAAAAAAAAAAATTACAGGCCAATATCCCTCATGAAAACAGACACAAAAATCCTCAACAAAATTCTAGCCAATAGAATTCAGCAACATATCAAAAAAATAATTCACCATCATCAAGTGGGATTTATACCAGGTATGCAGGGATTGGTTCAACATTAGAAAAACAATCAATGTAATCCATCACATTAATAAAACAAAAGACAAGAACCACATGATCTTATCAGTCAATGCAGAAAAGGCATTTGACAAAGTCCAACATCCATTCATGATAAAAACTCTCAGCAAAACAGGAATAGGAGGGAAATTCTTCAACATAATTAAGGGCATTTATACGAAGCCAAGAGCCAACATCATCCTAAATGGAGAGTTTGAAAGCATTCCCCTTGAGAATGGGAACCAGATAAGGAGGCCCTTTATCACCTCTCTAACTCAACATTGTGCTGGAGGTCCTGGCCAGAGCAATTAGGCTAGAAAAAGAAATAAAGGGCATCCAAATTGGTAACGAAGAAGCAAAAGTATCTCTATTTGTAGATGATATGATCTTATATACAGAAACCCCAAAGAATCCACAAGAAAACTACAGGAACTAATAAAAGATTTCAGCAAAGTATCAGGATACAAGATAAACATACAAAAATCAGTTGGATTCCTCTACACTAACAAAGAGAACTTCAAAGAGGAAATCACCAAATCAATACCATTTACAAAAGCCCCCAAGAAGATAAAATACTTAGGAATAAATCTAACCATGGACGTAAAAGACCGATACAATGAAAACTACAAGAAGCTACTGCAAGAAACCAAGAGACCTGCATAAGTGGAAAAACATACCTTGCTCATGGATAGGAAGACTCAACATTGTGAAATGTCAATTCTACCCAAAGTGATCCACAGATACAATGCAATGCCAATCCAAATTCCAATGGCATTTTTTAATGAGATGGAGAAACAAATCATCAACTTCATATGGAAAGGGAAGAGGCCCCAGATAAGTAAAGCATTACTCAAGAAGAAGAACAAAGTGGGAGGCCTCACACTACCTGATTTTAGAACCTAATATACCACCACGATAGTCAAAACAGCCTAGTACTGGTACAACAACAGATACATAGACCAGTGGAACAGAATTGAGAATCCAGACATAAATTCATCCACCTATGAGCAGCTGATATTTGACAAAGGCCCAAAGTCCATTACTTGGGGAAAAAGACAGTCTCTTTAATAAATGGTGCTGGCATAACTGGATATCCATCTTCAAAAAACTGAAGCAAGACCCACACCTCAGACCATGCACAAAAACTAACTGAAAATGGATCAAGACCTAAATAAATAGTCTAAAATAATAAAAGATCATGGAAGAAAAAATAGGGACAACGCTAGGAGCCCTAACACATGGCATAAACAGAATCTAAACCATAAGTAACAATGCACAAACACCAGAAGAAAAACTAGATAACTGGGAACTCCTAAAACTCACTTATGCTCATCAAAAGACTTTACCAAAAGAGTAAAAAAAAACAACCTACAGAGCGGGAAAAAATTTGGGGCTACAACAAATTGGATCAGCATCTAATCTCTAAAATCTACAAAATACTGCAAAACCTCCACAACAAAAAGATAAATAACTCAATTAAAAAATGGGCAAAGGATATGAACAAGCACTTCACCAAAGAAGACATTCAGGTGGCTACCAGACACATGAGGAAATGCTCACGATCATTAGCCATCAGAGAAATGCAAATCAAAACTACAATGACATACCATCTTACCCCAACAAGGCTAGCATTAATTCAAAAAACAGAAAATAATAAATATTGGGGAGGTTGTGGAGAGACTGGAACACTTATACACTGTGGGTGGGAGTGTAAAATGGTACAACCACTTTGGAAATCGATCTGGTGCTTCCTTAAAAAGCTAAAAATAGAAATACCATACGATCCAGCAATTCCACTCCTTGGAATATATCCTAGAGAAATAAGAGCCGTCACATGAATAGATATATGCACACCCATGTTCACTGCAGCACTGTTCACAATAGCAAGAAGATGGAAGCAACCTAGCTGCCCATTAATGGACCAATGGATAAACAAATTAGAGCATATTCACACAATGGAATACTACACAACGATAACAAGGATGAATCCATGAAACATAACATGGAGGAATCTGGAAGGCATTATGCTGAGTGAAATCTGTCAGTTGCAAAAGGACAAATATTGTATGAGACCACTATTATAAGAACCCAAGAAAAGGTTTAAACACAGAAGTAAACATTCTTTGATGGTTACGAGGGTGAGGAGGGAAGGAGAGGGGTATTCACTAACTAGATAGTAGACAAGAAATTATCTTAGGTGAAGGGAAGGACAATACACAATACAGGGGAAGTCAGCACAACTGGACTAAACCAAAAGCTAAGAATTTTCCTGAATACAACCAAACCCTTTGAAGATCAGAATAGCAAGGACAGAGGTCTGGGGACCATGGTTTCAGGGGACATCTAGGTCAGTTGGCGTAACAAAGTTTATTAAGAAACTATTCTGCATCTCACTTTGGTGAGTGGCATCTGGGGTCTTAAAAGCTAGGGAGCGGCCATCTAAGATGCATCCATTGGTCCCAGCCCACCTGGAGCAAAGGAGACCAACCAGGGTCACATAACAATGTGTGTATAAATTTTTGTATGAGAGACTAACTTGAATCGTAAACTTTCACTTAAAGGACAATAAAAAAAAAAAAAAAGGTGGCAAACTTTTCTTCTTCTTTGAGAAGTAAATATAAACTATAAAAAGTCATCACTTCATTGACATAGCAGTTCTCTAGTTTGTAATCCATATTTATATAATTTACACAATTATTAACTTCCTTTGAAATTTAAAAATAGCTAAGATTGCTTTATGATACTTCATAAATTATGCATCTTTTAAAATAAGCTAAAAGAATGTATTAGAATAATTTCATTTATGAGATAGTTAGAAGTACAGTGTTTTCTTACCCCTGAACTTATTTCGGTGCCTTTTGGTTGACTTTGCTGCTGCTTATGGTGTCCTGTCAGCAAGCCTCCGGCAGTAAGATTCGGAAAGCTCTGAAGATAAGCCTGCGACCCTGAGAAAGTTCCTTCTGCCATTCCCACCGTGGCTGGCTGTTTCTCCTGAGTATTGCTGTGCACTGGCCCAGCCTGTCCAACAATGAGCTGATTTGGAAAGAATGGTAACATGCCCATTCCAGCTGTTACAGTTGTTTGAGTTGGAATCAGGTTAGATGCTGTAGTGAACCACAAATGGAAAAAGCTTTTAGTCAAGACTTATGCACAATAGTTCTTTTGATTTTTTTTAAGTTATGAATTAAATACCAAGAAACCTGTTGTATCTGTTAGAGAACAGTTATACTCAAAAGGTAAGCTTAGATATCGTAAACTAGAAGGTTCCTTTACGAAAACACAAGAGTATATAGTAGTAATGATACTTTTCTTATCTTCAACAATTTCCAGGGTAATCTCAATGATACTATGTAGTTTTTTAATCACAAGTTTTATTTGCATATTTTAGGAGTTCAGAGCAAAGTTTGTGTATTTTTTGGCATTTAAATTACAATGATGCTTTCTTTATGCTCAATTATTGTGATATGCCTGCTTTCCTACTTTAAAGGTATAACTAAACAAGTCTTCAGTTTAAAAAGTTCTCTGGCACTGAAGAATTAGTCAAGTTTGAATTCAGCAACAGAATTGGTTAGCCAGCTTGCACCAATTCATGAGAGCCAACTGTTCATCTCTCTTCCCATCTCTCGAGTTCAGTATAATCACACTGATAGCTTGAAATCAGCCAAAGTTAGAGTTCTTACACACAGAAACCCACAAATGCTAGAAATCAAAACATTTTTTAATAAACCCAGAGAGCTAGTGTTAAACACTTACCAGTACACCACTGGTTAATCAATCAATACTTCTGAATAGATAAGCACCAAATTTAAAAGACGAATGTTTTATTGATTTATTTTTAACAAGGAACAGTAAGAAATTCTGGAGGAAATGAAATGTTTAACAGGAAAATTCTGAATCATTCCACTTTTTAAATCTGTAGGTTAAAGTTAAATGAAAAGAGCTAGTTTTGATAACTACTTTAGTCAAACTTACATTTTACAAAGTCCTTAAATTATGTTTAGTTCTAAACATTTAGAGATGAATACTTCGGATCTCCTGTCCTTTACCAATATATTTTCATATATTACCATTTTATAAATAGACTATGGAAAATATCTTTTCAGAGGATGTATCTAGATGGATTAAAATTTAATAGTTAAAGCTAATCAGTTAGAATGTATAATAAAAGATTAATGAGAAACCTTGTCTGTAGTACCCTGCCTCATACCTACACAGCGTGGCAAAAACAATTAGAAAAAAAGTATGAATAGGTTTCCAGTACATTATATGAAAATGTATTTACCCAAAAATAATTGAGTAAATTTATAACTAATTGTCACTTTGTAGACTTTAACTTGATTTTGCTAAAAGATGTTAAATGTACACATTACAACTATGAAGATATCTGAGTCATCTGGTTCCACACCAAAATGCTTAAAGGGTTAATGATTAGAAAGAGAAAATAGGATGGGTAACCATAAATGAGAAAAACAAATAACTAAAAAGGGAACTATCATTTTTTTTTCTTCCCATACTTACAATGAGCAGGGAATCCCTTAGTAGTGCAAATGGTCAACATACTCGGCTGCTAACCAAAAGGTTGGAGGTTCAAGTCTACCCAGAAGTGCCTTGGAAGAAAGACCTGGTGATCTACTTCCGAAAATTCAGTCATTGAAAACCCTATGGATCACAATTCAATTTGACACACATGGGACTGGCATGAGTCAGAACTGACTCAATGTCAGCTGGTTTGTTTTTTTTTTTTGGTTTATTAGGAACTAGGCACTGTGCTAAGTGCTTTTGATACACTGTCTCATTTAATCCTCACCATCACTCTTCAAATAGATGGTATTATTGCCATTTTAAAGATAAGAAGATATAGAAACAAAATACTAGATTCATTTGAATACTAAGTCTGACAAGTACTGGGCCTAAAAATAAAAATCATATCTATACTATGTTTCATTCAAAAGATACATCCCTGACAAGTTGCAGGTTAATTTCAGGTATCTTAAGGCTACCATCAAGATAAAGAGCCCCTTCAATAAATTCCTCTGTGATTCAAATTACTCATTACTTAATTACATTTATTTGGACACCCTGAATTTTCAGTGTTCTTAAAGCAGCCCATGCTAAACCAACTGGCGTATTATTTAATCTGACACAAATAGTAAATACTTACCTAAGCTTCCAGTTGCAGAAAACTGAGTTTTTAGAAGGATGTACCTCATCATTCCATAAAGCTCTACTGGATATAGGCTTATCTATATAGTGGTTTAACTTTTGCCCAGTTGATTCCAAAAGTTGGAACTGATTGAGTTGTTTCATCATTTGACTTGTTGGTTTCATGCACAAGAAGCTAAGTAAAATACCCACGTTTAATTGATTTTTAAAATAACTAGTAGCCCTTCTGTTTTCCCTCAGCATGTTCGCTTCTAAGCAAATTTCAACTATGCTTCAAACTGAAAGTGCCTTTCAAAATCACATTCAAACAAGAAATTCTGGTATACCACACCATACTCCTGTTTTTCAAAAAAAAAATCTGTATCTATATCTATATATATATACACACATATATAGATTGCTCATCAAAAGACTTCACCAAAAGAGTAAAAAGAACCTACAGACTGGGTAAATATTTTGGCTATGACAAATCCGACAAAGGGCTAATCTCTAAAATCTACAGGAAAATCCAATACCTCTACAACAAAAAGATAAATAATCCAATTAAAAAATGGGCAAAGGATATGAACAGATATTTCACCAAAGAAGACAAATTCAAGCAGCTAACAGACACATGAGGAAATGCTCAGGATTACTAGCCATTAGAGAAATTCAAATCAAAACCACAATGAGATACCATCTCGTCTCTGCATTACTGACATGAATCAAAAAAACAGAAAATAACAAATGCCGGAGAGGCTGCAGGGAGATTGGAACTCTTATGCACTGCTAGTGGGAATGCAAAATGGTACAACCATTTTAGAAAATGATATGGCACTTCCTTAGAAAGCTAGAAATAGAAATAACGTATGATTCAGCAATCCCACTCCTAGGAATATATCCTAGAGAAATAAGAGCCATCACACAAATAGATATATGCATATCCATGTTCACTGAAGCACTGTTCACAATAGCAAAAAGATGGAAACAACCTAGATGCCTATCAACAGACGAATGGATAAACAAACTATGGTACATACACACAATGGAGTACTACGCAATGATAAAGAACAATGATGAATCTGTGAAGCATCTCACACAACATGGATGAATCTGGAGGGCATCAAGCTGCGGGAAATAAGTCAATCACAAAATGACAAATATTGTATAAGACCACTACTATAAAAACTCATGAGAAGGTTTACACACAAAAAGAAACAATCTTTGATGGTTACGAGGGAGGGGAGGGGAGAGAAAAACACTAAATGGACAATAGGTAAGTGGTAACTTTGGTGAAAGGTAAGATAGTACACAATACTGGGGAAGCCAGCACAACCTGTACAAGGAAAGGTCATGGAAGCTCCATAGACACATCCAAAATCCCTGAGGGACCAAATTACCGGGCTGAGGGCTGTGGGGATCATGATCTTGGGAAACATCTAGCTCAATTGGCATAACAGTTTATAAAGAAAATGTTCTACATTCTACTTTGGTAAGTAGCATCTGGGGTCTTTAAAGCTTATCAGTGGCCAACTAAGATACTCAACTGGTCTCACCCCATCTTGGGCAAGGGATAATGAAGAAAACCAAAGACACAAGGGGAAGGTTACTCCGAAGGACTAATGGACAACAACTACCACAGCCTCTACCACAAATAGATACTGCCCAGCTACCACCACCAACTGCTCTGACAGGGATCACAATAAAGAGTCCTGGACAGAGCTGGAGAAAAACGTAGAACAAAATTTTAACTCATTAAAAAAAAAAAAAGACCAGACTTACTGGCCTGACAGAGACTGGAGAAACCCCGAGAGTATGGCCCCCGACACCCTTTTAGCTCAGTACTGAAGTCACTCCTGAGGTTCACTCTTCAGCCAAAGATTAGGCCCATAAAACAAAATGAGACTAAAGGGACACACCAGCCCAGGGGCAAGGACTAGAAGGCAGGAGGAGATAGGAAAGCTGGTAATAGGGAATCCAAGGTCGAGAAGGTGAGAGTGTTGACATGTCGTGCAGTTAGTAACCAATGTCACAAAACAGTATGTGTACTAATCGTTTAATGAGAAGCTAGTGTGTTCTGTAAACCTTCATCTAAAATGCAATTTTAAAAAATTAAAAAAAAAATAGATTTATTGAAATATAATTCATGTACCATAAGATTCACCCTTTTTGACATGTGTAACTTGATGATTTTTAATATATTCAGAGTTGTGTGACCATAGCCACTATCTAATTTTCAAATATTTTTATAACCACAAAAGGAAAACCCACATCCATTATTAGTCACTCTCATTGCCCTCTATCCCCAGACTCTGAAAAACAATAATCTACTTTCTATTTCTGTGGATTTGCCTATTCTGGACCTTATATATAAATGGAATAATAAAATACATGTTGTTTTTTTGAAAAAAAAAAAATTTTGTTTAATGCTGTCTAGCTTTTCAGAAGTATATAGTACACATATTGTTTTCCTTTTACTAATTTAGAGATTACATTTTAAAAATGATACAAATAAATAATCAAACTTTAAATTTACAAATAATGGCTGTTTTCTTTTATAAAAGCTGAGGGTTCCTTATCCAGGCAAAAATTAAATGGATTATACATGAAATGTCCTGTCAGCCCAGTGGGCGGCATGTCAGTCTCCAGTGGATCTATTTCCTCACCTCGTACTGCTGTGAACTTCATAAATATTAATGCATATCCAACAGGGAAAGTCCTGTCATGGCATGAAAGCGGGTCCATCAATAACTTATCAATAGTTTTCTACTATTAAAAATACAAAAGACTATACTTTACCTCAGTAAAATTAAAAAAAAAGAAAGAAAGAAAAGCCAAGAGGCTTTTTGAAGTTTTAAATGACTGAATAAAACTCTAATTTGACCTTCCTGTAAATAAAAGTTCAAACCTCACAAGTGACTGTTTACTAGCTGATTAGAAAACACACATCATTTACTTTTATGTGCTTCTCCATGGTGCCCCAACTCCGTTTTCAATGGAAGTGCTGACCCTACCCCTAGTGCAGTCTGAAGTACCATAGCTGGGGGTTCTCCAAGTAAGCCAGGTTTCTACAAAAGAAGAAAAAAAATAAGAGTTTCCCCCCATGGCAGTTTAAGACATAACATAATAAAAAGAGTACACATTCATAACCAATCTATTCAATAGCCTGATCACAGGAGAGGAATGAATTCATTTTCAAAAGAAAAAATACTACTATACTTACATTATTAGTATGGACATTCTCAAACTTCATTAATTGTTGCTGTGCCAATGGTACATGAGAAAGATTCTGAAGAAATAAATTAGAAGTATTACCCATGACTGAGCTCTGTGAAAATGATAAAACATTCAGTTAGTTTAATTTTGAGAAAGTTACTTGTTGTATAGTCCAATTCATTTTAAAGTTCACTTCTACAGCTGATCTGAGCAAAAGCAACAGTTTTTTAATTTCCCACATTCCAACTTCCGGCAATGCTAATGAATTCCTTTAATATACAAGATATGACCCTGTAGTCATGAGACTAATTCCACACCCATTCTTTCTTTTCTGTCTTTTTTCCTCTCCTCCCCTCACCTGTTTCTGGCTTCAGCAACAGTGTCATTATCTTCAATTATTTATTCATTTAATCATTCAGCAAATATTTATTGAGCACTTTCTGTGTACCAGGCACTGAGCTACGTAGTTAGAAATACAGCAATATGTTCTGCTCTCATGGATCTTATCGTCTCCTGGGGATGGGTGGCATTAATTAATTATAAAAACATATATAATCACAAATGCTGATAGGAATATGAAGGAAACATACAAGGAACTATGAAAACAAATAGTAAGGGGACTTGATTTAGACTGGAAAGTTCAAGGAAGGTTTTCTTATGGAACTAACTCTTGGACTGAAATGTGTAGGCTGAATAGGAAGAATCAGGGGAAGAATAGGGGAATTATGTAGGTGGTGTTGGGGTGGGGGGCATTCTAGGCAGGAGAAACAGCAGGAGCAAAGACCTGAGGAGGAGGGAACAAGGTCACGGTTCAAGGACCATAAACAGGTAGCTGGGAAACAGTGATGGGCAATTAGCCTGAGACGTAGGGGTAACCAGATTGTACAGGGCCTTAAAGACAAAATTAATCATTTTGGTCTTCATCCTAAAACAACGGGAATATGCTCAATACTCTGAACTGTCCCTCTCATAGTACTCTTCATACCTTATTGTAATTAATTGTTTAATGTTTGTTTTCATTATCGACTGAATTTCTGTAAGGACAGGGACTGTGAATGTTTTCTTTAATGCTAGCCTTAATGCTTAGCAGAGTGTCTGGTACATGTTAGGTTCAAAATAAAATATGCAGACTAAATGAATGAATAAAGACCCTATAATGTACCAGGTCCTAAGTAAGATGCTAAGGATTAAAAAAATGAATAAAAGATAGGCCTTTCCCTTACAAAGCTAGGTTTAGGACCAGCCATTCATTCATTCAACCTAAATTCAGCACCTATTATATACTAGTTTTGATTTGTTCTTAGGATTCTATATAAATACAGCCTTAAACAGATCCTGAAGTTAATGAGTACAGTGTATCTCCAATATTATGGGTATTTATAGATATAAACGTATTTTAAAAATACTTATCTGATAAAAGCAAGGAAAACATTTTTTGCTCTCCTAAATAGATGAATTATTTTTTTATAACACTGATTAAATTTTTAGAATTAAGAGTTATTGTTGATTCATCTATTTTTGTACATACTTTTTAAAATTAAGACCACATAAGGAGCCTTATTTTGATCTACTGATTTATTTCTCCAAAAAAATATACTGCAAAATATACCATAAAATATATCTCTTGCTCTATGAACAGCCTATAAATAGGAGTCAACATATACCGTATTTTAACACATGCTTTCTGTGTCTGTTTGCCAACCATGCCCTCCTCCCACGAGGTATTTTCAAAAGTGCCACCATGCCCATTTATTTTTACATGTTGCTGTGAAAAAAATTAGCATAGTGCACTTACAAAAAAACCTCGTTGGGGGGGGCGTGGTTGGCAAACAAATGTAGAAGGCGTGTGTTATTTACGCAAAAATACAGTATACAACTATGCTACCTTGATTAGCTTAATTTGATCTGATGCTCTCATTATTTTTTATGTAGCTATACTTTTTACTAAAGTTTTTTTTCAAAGAAAAAAAATACTCATTTGACTTCTTGAACACTTTAAATGTTAAGAACAAACAAAATATTCACTCCAAATTTTTGATGCTTTAGTACTTGATGTTACTTATGTACCTGATGTGCTTTATTCAAATGTAAAAATGCAGGGGAGATGGATGGATTCATCAGATGTGGCAAGCTGTGAGGTGTTCCAAGAACTGCTTTAAGAAAATACAAGTAAAACTTTATGATATATATGGAATCAAAAAAATAAAACAAGCTTTAAAAAGAGTAAATGACTATTTCTCTAAACTTTAAACAAATTCATGGGAAGTTCAATGACATACTGACCTTGTCACTGGTCAAAAAAATGGCAGGCTTCTTTCCTTGTGATTCAACCCTGGAATTTGTTTTAAAATTTCAACACCTTCTGCTATAATGGTAAAATATCAAGCCAGGGCTTACTCTTCTCTAGCGCTGAGTGCAACAAAACCGATTCTGTCTTTTAGTAAGTATAGTACTGATTGAAATCATGAGATTTTTTTTAAGTGTTTAGAGAATTTTGGTGGGGGACAAAGAGGGGGGAGGGAGGAGACAAAATACAATCTCTGTCCTTGAAAAGTTTACAATCCAGTTGAGAAGATACTCTACGTAAAAAAAAAATTATATAATAAAAACTAAACAAACAACTAAAAAACTGTATATAGTTGACAAAAGGAATAAATGGTACCCTCTTAATCAAATCTATCTATGAGTGCAAATATCAGGGTACATCTCAGAGGAGATGTTTTCAGAATAGATAATTCATACAGAAAGGAAGCACCATGAGAGAGAAAATACATGAAGTCATTTCATCTTATTATAAAGTAACTCAGGAAAGTCATAATATACAAAATTCTTTAGAATTCTATAATTCTTTAACAACAGTTAATTAGAATTATAGAATGTTGGACTTACAAGGTACTTCAAAAAGCATCTAATCTAATGATCAAAAACATTTGAAATTTATATATAACAAATTCAACCATGCTTTAAAAACTCTATTTCACAGAATTTATTACTTGCCAAGGCAGTCTATTACATCTTTGGGAAACTGATTCTTAGGAAGGGTTTTTTTTGGAATGAGCCAAATTTTCATTACAGATGACGGGGAAGATTACATCATTAGGAAGAGTCGCTTGTTAGGGAACCAAAAACCAAACCAATTGTTGTTGAGTGAATTCCCAAGTATTTTGGAACCTAAACAACACAATTATAAATAGCCCATGGATCAAACAAAAAATTAAAATTGAAAATACAAAGTATTTTGATCAGAATGAAAATATGTCAAAATTTGTCTAGAGGAAAACTTGATACATCAGAAAAGAAGAAAAATCTCAAATGAATAACCTAGTTGTATCTTAAGAAATCAGAAAATGCAGGACAAATCAAGCCCAAGAAAGCAGAAGAAAAAAGATAATAAAAATTAAAGTGGAAGTCAATGAAATAGAAAATAGTAAACAAATAGAGAAAACCAATGTAATCAAAAGCTGGTTCTTTGAGAAGATCAATAAGATTGATAAACCTCTAGCCAGACTGATCAGAAAAATTATATTCCAATATAAGGACCATGAGAGGGGACATGATTACAGATCCTGCAGACATTAAAAAAAAAAGGAAACATACTATGAGTAGTGTTATGCCAATAAATTTGACAACTTACATAAAATGGACAATTTCTTTGAAAGACACAAACTACCAAAGCTCACTTAAGAAGAAAAAGATACCCCGGATAGCTCTTATTTATTAACGACATTGAATTTATAGTTAGAAAGCTTCCTACAAACAAAATTCAAGACACAGATGACATCACTGGTGAATTCTACCAAACAAATAAGGAAGAAATAATACCAATTATACAAAAATTATTTCTGAAAATTGAAGAGGAGGGACTATTTCCCAAATCATTTTATAAGGTCAGCATTATCCTGATACCCAAACCAGGAATGACACTGTTTAAGAAGAGAAAACTATAAATCAATATCCCTTATTAACACAGATGAAAAAATTCTAAATTTTACCAAATCAAATCCAACAATACATAAAAAGGATTATAATACATCATGATCAAGTGAGATTTACCCTAGGAATATATTAAACAGCAATATAGTCATTATGTTAACAGACAAAAAAAGAAAAACATATGAAGAAAAATATTCCACAAATTCCAGCAATCACCACAATAAAATTTCTCAGCAATGCAGGAATAGAAAGAAAAGTCCTCAGCTTGATAAAGGAAATCTGTGGAAAAAAAAAAAGCTATGGCTAACATAATGCTTAATAATGAAAGAAGTATGCTTTCTCCTTAAAATCAGAAAAAGGCAAGGATGTCTTCTTTCACCATTTGTATACACAACTTTACTGAAATTTCTATCTACTATAATAAGGCAAGAAAAAGCAACAAAAGGTTTACATATCGGAACGGAAGATGCAAAACTGTTTATTTGCAGATGATATAATTGGCTATACAGAAAATCCTATGAAATCTACAAAAAATATTAGAAATAATAAGTGAGTTTAGCAAGGTTGCAAGATACGAAAATCAGTATACCAAATCATTTGTACTTTTATATGCTAGAAATGAGCTATAAGAAATTAAAATTAAAAAACCAATACCATTTAAAATAGCATCAAGAAATGTGAAATACTATAAATTTGACCAAACAATGTGTAATATATGTACACTGTAAATATAAGACATTGCTAAAGAAATTAAAGACCTACATAAATGGAGAAATATACTATGTTTATGGATCAGAAGACTCAAAATTATTGTTAAATCTGCCTTAGTACAGAGATTCAGCACGATTCCAGTAAAAATTCCAGCAGGTATTTTTCATATAAATTGATGGCTGATTTAAAATTATATGCAAATGAAAACTACCTCGAAAAAACAAAACAAGTCTGAAAAAGAATAAACTGGAAGGACTTACACTACTTGGTTTCAGAACTTATAAAGCTTTATCAAGACAGTGTAGCACTCAGTTAAAGACATATATTTAGACAAATGAAACACAATAGACAGTCCAGAAATAGACCCAAACTTGTGTGGTCAACTGATGTTTTGACAAAGATGCCAAGAAATTCAATGGAAAAGGATAATCTTTTTAACAAATGAGGCTGGAACAACTGTATCACCACATGTTAAAAAAAAATGAACCCGGACTCCTACCTCACATAAACAAAAACTAACTCAATATGGATCTCAGAGCTAAATGCAAGAGTTAAAATTATAAAAATTCTGGAAGAAAACATAAAAGAAGAGACAAAATAGTACTGGGGAGGGGCACTAAAGACACTCCAGAGTCCAACGGTGTAGACAATACTTTCCAAAGTGCAGTATACTCCTTTAGACACTAACACAATCTTGGACTACATTAATGGGAATATAATGATCATAGGAAAGAAATCCCTCTGTATTCTATGCTGATCAGAACTCATTTACAGGCTATGACTGTGTCTGTGTTCACCATATGTCTGGACAACAAGAAAATCTAGAGTATATCCACAAGAGAACAATGTGGGGGCGTGGGGAAATCTATAGAGTATGCCCTATGGCATGTTACAGAAAGTCAAAAACAGAACTGTAGTCTCCAAAGTAGTAGAAGAGGCATAAAAGCTGAGACGTAGAAAGAAAACATTATAAGTGTTGCTGATATTTATTTTCATCCTAAAAAATGAAAATATTAAGCTTTACCATTTCATAATACCTGCATTGACAATGGGGCATATACATGACTGATATATAACTGATACATGTACATGTATATATTAAGGTTCTGCTCAAAATTATTTTACTGATAGGGTTGCAGAGTCAAAAAATAAAAAGTGGAGACCACTGGTCTAAGGTATAGAAGATAGGGAGAACCAAAGATGATTGAAATTTCACTGTAGTTGTCTTCAAATATTTGAACTCATTTCTTATGGAAGAAGGAAGACATTTAGTCCATCTTTCTTCAGAGGCAAAACTAGAAGAGGCTAGAAGTTACAGAGATTTCTACCTAATATACTATAATATATAATACATATTACATATAAGGAAGAACTTTCTACTAATTTGAGTTGTTATATTAGAGAATAAGTTGCCTTGGAAAATAATAAGCTTCTTATCCTTGGAGTATTTAAGACAAACGAGGATATCTGTATACCATTAAAATTATAGAAGAGATATCTGATTATATAATATGCTGGGGCAGAAAACCTCTAAAGCTGCTTCTTACACACAAATACGTAATGATGACATGAAGTATGTAATATGAGTATATTAGATATATTTACCCTAAACCTTAGCACTGATTATAGGAATGTACTTCCACAAAATGCTCAAGTAAGCTTTGTACATATGCACAAAGATAAGAAGGTAAGCTCTTACAGGAGAAAAACACTAAATAGGTGGATAGTCAGTGCATACTAGTACTTAGACACTTGCATAATATTTGGAAAACAATAATGCCTTTGTCATATTTTACCAAGTGAAACAATTTTACAACAAAAAGAAACAGAATTAAAACAACGAGCTATCACTACACACCTATTAGAATGGCTAAAATCCAAAACACTGACACCACCAAATGCCGGTGAGGATGTGGAGCAACAGAACTCACTGCTTGCAGGAACACAAAATGGAACAGCCACTTCAGAAGATGGTTTTGCAGTTTCTTACAAAACTAAATACAGTCTTACCCTATGATCCAGCCATCATAGGTATTTATTAAAAATGAGTTGAAAACTTATGTCTACACAAAAACCTACACACAAATGATTACAGCAACTTTATTCATAATTGCCCAAAATTGGAAGCAACCAACATATCCTTCAGTAGGTGAATGGATAAACAAACTGTGATACATCCACACAATGGAATATTGTTTAGCAATAAAAAGTAATGAGCTATCAAGCCACAAAAAGACATGAGGGAACCTTACATGCACACTGCTAAGTGAACGAAGCCAGTCTGAAAAGGTTACATACTGTAAGATTCCAACTATATAATATTCTAGGAAATGTGAAACTACAGAGACACTAAAAGATCAGTTGCCAGGGATTTGTGAGGACGGGGAGAGGGATAAAGGTGGAGTACAAGGGATTTTCAGGGTGGTAGAACTATTCACTATGATACCATAAAGATGGCTATATGACATTATGCATTTGTCAATACCCATAGAAATACACAACACAAAGAATGAACTCTAATGTAAACTACAGACTTTAGTTAATAATAATGTATTATTATTGGTTCATTAATTATAACCTATGTACCACACCAAGATGTTAATAATAGGGGAAACTGTGTCTACAGGCGTGGAAGTATATGGGAACTCTCCAAACTATCTGATCAATTTCTCTGTAAACCTACAACTGTTCTAAAAAATAAAGTCTATTAATTAAAAAAAAGGGGAGAGAAAACAAGACTTTTAGTACTTTTCAACAAAGTAATTCGACTAAAGATGTAACACAGAATGGGATCATATCCTTTATTAATGTAGGTCACAACAATACAGTATGGCAACTATTACCTAGTCTATAAATTCATATTAACTAGAAGCTAAACAGAAGGTTTAATATTTAACATTTATTTATAGCAAAAAAAAAAAAAAGGAAACACATAAACAAGTTGTGCCTACCAAAAATAGTAAAAACAAAATTATCATCTCAGACTACTGATTAAAATTCATTGACAAGCCTAGACTAATTAAATATGTTTAGGCAAATTTAAATGCATTTTCTTAAGTAAAGCAGCACAATTAACTTCATGTCAACATTTTTTACTTAGTGTAACATCAGTGCTTACCTGGTTTAACAGCTCGTCCACATAGCTGGGGTTGTAGAAGAACTTGTAACATGGCAGGGTTGTTTAAACTTTTCATAATTTGTACGGGATTTGGCTCTGGAAGTAAGCCCTTTTGACTACTGTGCATCTTCAATGAATACAGAAACAGGAAACATTATAACAAAGATAAAAACAGAAGAGGTAATTTTTTCATGCTTTCTTCCAGAAATTCTCATTAATCTAATAAAATCTATTTTATGATAAATGCAATTTGCCTAGCATGAGCTGGAACTGACTCGGCGGCACCTAACAACAACAAAGCAGCATGTAGTGGGTACCCAATAAATATTTGTGAAATGAATGAAAAGAGAAAAAAATATCAGCTGAGATTGAGCTGATTCCAACTCATGGCGACCCCATGTGTATAAGGGCAGAACTGCTCTCTAGAGAGTTTTCAGTGCCTGATTTTTTGGAAGCAGTGCCTCTGGGTAGACTCAAACCTCCAACCTTCTGGTTAGCAGCAAATGTGTTAACGGTTTGCACCATCCAAGGACAGAGAAGGAAGTCAAACATGGGAGTACACAGAAATACATTTGCTAGTGGATATGAGAAAAGTTGAATGACTGAGTCTAACTTTCTATAAAGTAGGAGTTGCGATCATCTGATAAAAAGGGGGAGAGAGACAAAAATCAGTGAAGGTCTGAGATAGCTGCTGTAGAAAATGGAAAAGAGCTGATGAGAAATGAGCTGAAGATTTGCTGAAGGTACTAAAGGGCCAGCTATAAACATATACTATACATTTGTAGCAGCATCAAGCCACCTAGTTGTTGGTTTTTCTCCAAGAGGACATAGAAACCTGGCTGCAGAAGTAGGTGACGGGACCAGTTCAGAACTGTAAATTCTGCAAATCCAATCCAACAAAGAAACAACTTAATCACAGGAAATGAAGTTGATAGCGAAAGAATAGCTGAAGTAATGAATTATACAAGAAAGGATAAAATAGTGCTATAATTTATCTATATCCTAAGGAGAGGAAAAAAAGCTTACCACACGTTGAGCTGCTATCAATGCTGCTAATGTGCTTCGCCCTGGCGCTCCTGGGGCACAGAAGGAAACCTGGACTTTGCTTCCCTTGATGGTCATGCCATCAGCTGCTTGCTGAACCTCTTCGGCGTGTTCTGCGGTGTTATATTCAACCACTGCAAAGCCACCAACGTAACTACCTTCATCCTGTGCGAGCTGATGTAACACATTTTATTAAAAGGGAAATTCTGATATGAGACACATTTACTTACAATACATAACCTTCAAATTCAAGAACAATGTATTACAGAGCATGATACTGGGGAAAATAATGTACTCTTTCTTTCTGAAAATAAAAGTCTATAGCTGCTTCGCTGCAGTTCTTCCTGAAGAGAGCAAGATAAACAAGATTCCATCAAGTTTCTTTTCAGCTCTTTGATTCTGTAATTTATTTTAAAAGTCAAAACCCAAATGATAATAGTCGTTACACATTATGAAATGTATGTAACTGGTAATTTGTGGGAAAATGTTGGCACAAAATAATTAAAACTTTCTTTGAAACAAAATTCACCAGATACCTAGGCAGTGAAACATATTGAGCAATTATCTGAGCATCTATCTGTGTAAAATAAAGTTAGTATTATCAAGGGAAAAAGGTAAGTGGAACTATATTCTAGTTTTATTTCAATTTAAACAGATCCCAGGAATTTGGTCTAAGTATACGAAAGCAAACCTTATTTAGGGAAATTGTGCCCCAGGTTTGTTAAAATACTATATGCAATACACAGCTTTTATTTCAGTACCCTAAAAGAACTCCTGTCATGTAGAACTCGATTTCTTTCCAATTGCCCACCTGTAAGAGTGTAAACGGAGATACTAAAGTCCTGGATCTGTAAAGGCTGGTACAAAGAGCAAAAATAAGAACAAAGTAAGACACCAAAAAGGTTCTAAGTTTTGAACATGTCTGAATTATCTTAAACACATTTACATTATAAAGTGATAAATGTGGCAAAATTCAGCTTGGTACATCTTTGCGAAGATATGTTTACAACACATCTATTTGGGTTTGGCATCTCATAAGTTAATATTACAATTAAATAATTTATTAGTCCTTTTTTGTTTCTTTTTTCCTATTTCTGAAGCTTAACTTTCTTCTACCTTCTTGTGTAAGTAGACCAAATTTGTTGTTTTCCTTCACAGTCTTCCTACCCTTTAAAGCTGTCCTCAAATGCCTTTTCCTCCATACAATTTTTTCCAGTCAAATGGGGGAAAGGAAAAATATCAACCTCTTTCAAACATTTCTCTAACAACCCCATTCCTCTTATAATCCAAATTGGACTTTAAAATCAGATTTGTAAAAGCCATTAAGTCCTTTTGGTCTCTTTTAACTACAAGGTAAGAGATTGTGTCTTCGATATGGTCTCTGCCAACCTACCATGAGAAAAGCCTGAATTTAATAGGTTCATTGACAAAACCATTGTAAAATTATTTTATTAATATTTTGAAAACTTTAAAAATGGGTTTTACTAAACCTGGTTCATTATGACGACTTTCATCTTATATAAATTATATTATCATGTTGAGTGTTTCAAAAGGCAAATCATTTTAAGTCCACAGCATCAGTATCTTCGGAGAGGAATATTTCAGTTCAATTCAAAGATGTTATGGTCTAACTCGTGATCTAATTAATTTTCCATTATTTTGAAGTATTTTAGCAGAAGCTAAATGGTCAGTCAAAAATATTGTAGCAAACATTTTTATACCATGTGTGAAGCTAGACCTTAAAACCTCTAAGATAATCTCTAAGGTCTCTTCTATCTCTCAAATTCATAATTCAAATACAAATTGTAATAAATGGCTTTTGCTCTCACATTGGTTTCAAAGGCCTCAACTAAAGTTCCAAAAAAATCATGTATGGTCATAGGATATCACTATCCAATTCTAGTGTTCAAGAATAGCGTATCAATAAGCCAATCAACTTTCAATAACTAGGCAAAGATCTGATAAGAGATTTGTCATTAAAATAGTCTAATAATATAAAGTTTTTGGATGGTTTCTTTGATGCTTATTATATTGGGATTGGAGGGGTAGAGAAGAAAAAGGAAGATGGTAGCATTATTCTTAAATATACATGTATAAATATATATATATTTCTACTCCAAATTTTCTACCAAAATTGTAGAGACTTCACAACGTATGATTAAGAAAAAAAGGGAGGCAGAAAAAAAGAAAGGAGGGTAAGAAGGCAAAGAGCATGGGAGGGAAGGAGGGTGGAAAATGGGAAGGGAAAGAAGAAATGAATGTAAGCAAGACAGAAAGAGTTAATCAATGCTATTAAAAATCTCTAAGAAAAGGAGTTATAGACAGTATATATTTTTGTCTATTAGAATATAATCAATTTTACTATAATAAAACGTTTGAAAATTCTCACCAACATTGGCAGTTTTCAAGATCCTCTCTAAATTCTCACCTATCACAGCCCCATTCACATACAATTTACATTATTTTTAAACCTTATCCATTACTTTTCTATCTTCCATTATATCATGCATCATACAAGATTTGCAATTATTTGCTTACTTACCAGCATCTCCTGTGAAATTGAGGAAGTGAGATAGAGTATCTTTCTAATCTCTGCATTTCTGACACTTAGCATAGTGTCTCGCACACAGAAGATGTTAAATAAAACTTGGATGGATGGAAGTATCAACGAATGAGTGGGTAGATGAGTGGACGGAATGAGGAGGAGAATGTATAAGTGATGAATTTGCTAAGACATACTTAAATGTCGAACAAAATAGTTGGGATTATCAACAGAAGGAATCGATTTAAAATTTCCCAACAGATTAAAGTCTTCATTACAGACTATAGCAGTATTAGATTATTCATTGTGATATTTACAGGGCTGTGATAAATAAATTTGTGAGTGCATGTAGAATAGATATATATGCACACAGTTTTAAATATTTCTAATGCATTTTAAAAATACATACCTGGCAAAACACAGGTTTATGGATACTGGAAAAAAAGTGCAACAGCTCCTCTGAATCCCTATAGTCACTAGGGAGTTTATCTATACAAAGGCACTTAGAATGAATGAGCTCCGAGGCCAATAGATTAACATCCATCCACTGTGCAAAGAGAGCTGATGTTCCCAACTGTTTACCCAATAGCTCCAATCTAGCCTTTGCAGCGAAGTCCTTTTTCATGTATTCCACAAATCCATAGCCCTTGGAATGGCCAGTAACTTCACTGTAGACTAGAAAACACCTTTCAATATTTCCATAAGCACGAACAAGTTCTTCAAACTCCTCTAATGTAAAAGAAATGGGCAGGTTGGTAATACACAGCAAAGCATCTGTAGGCTGGAGCTGAACTACTAAATCTTTTCCTCGAAAGGAGTACTGATGAAACATCTGAATTGCACTCTGGGCTTGTTCCCCATTCAATAAAGTAACAAAAGCTGGAAGAAAACAAAATGAATTAAAGAGTTTTCTAGGCCAGTGTTTTCAATTTTTGATCATGACCCACAGTAAGAAATACATTTTGTATCTGTGACTCAGTATACACATACATTAATTCTGAAACAAAAGAATCATGAAGTACTACTTACCCCTACCATACACAATGCATTCCGATATTTTCTATTATATCTCACTGTTTTTTTTTTAATGCTGACACCTCCTCCCAGTAAACTAATTTCATGATCAGTAACTCAAATAAAAAGTATAGAATTATATTGAGTTCTACTGTAAGATCCTAAAATATTCTGTTGTTGTTTTTCATTTTGGTAATCTTTTCTAACCTCATACGGGTACATTTTTCCCCCATTAGCCAATGATGTAATAGCAAGCTCTGAAACAATGAAGATAGACACAAATTCCCCAAAAGAGGTCAGTTCTTTCTCCATTTCATTTACATGTTTTCTTACAATCAGATTAAAATAACACACACACATTTTGGTATACTTTTTGATGAACAATATGGTACGGGAAAAGCACAGGATTATGATCTTGGACAAGCTGCTTAATTTTGAATCTCTGTAAAACAATAAAAAAAATACCTGTCTTGTCTACCTAATGAAGTTATTCCAGCATCAAGCAATAAATACACATGACAACTTGTAAAATCTAAAGCATGATACAAATATAAGATTTGAAATCAATAAAATACTATGCAAAATATATTCATGTATCTGGTAAAATGAAAATTTAGCCATATTAATTTGTTGATCTATTGTTATCAAAACAAAGACTATATAGATTTTGAGCAAAGTTATAAAGAATGTTTAAAGCCCTCCATTAAAAGAAGGGCAATCCACAAATTACAAATAAATTGCTCTCTAAAAGTTTCTCCATCTCTTCCTCCATCCCTTCATGCCCTCCTTCCCTCTTCCCTCTCTCCCCTCACCTCTAAGTTTGAATATACAGTGGAGTTGCTCCATATGAGCATTTAATTTACCCAAATTCAAATATAACAATATGACAAATATGTATATAGCAAGAGAGAAAGAAAGAAATCTAAACAGCCTGGGCAACTCTACCTGTCACTACACCCGATATGCTCTTCTCTCAAATGGTCTTTGGGCCCATGTGGCTCTCAGAGTGTGGGCATCACACATTGAGTGTGATGCTAACATTTAAAGAAACATATTCTTCATTTAACACAGTCTCCTCATGCAAGGAAACTACTATCAAAGAACAGCTAAATCTTCCAACACCAGAGAAAAATTAGCTTTGAGGGGCATCAAGACTATGATGAACACTCATTCATTATAAAAATTCAGAGGTCTCTAGTAACAATATATTCATCTAAGTGATTAAAATTCAGGATACTAATATTACTTTCAGAAACCCTGGCAGCATAGTGGTTAAGAGCTACGGCTCTAACCAAAAGGTCAGCAGTTCAAATCCACCAGGCACTCCTTGGAAACACTGTGGGGCAGCTCTACTCTGTCCTATAGGGTCGCTATGAGTTGGAATCAACTCCACAGCAAGGGGTTTGGTTTGGTTTGGTTTTTTTAATATTACTTACAGAAAACAAATGGTCTGAGTAACATTTACACAATTGAATACTTTTCAAAGACTAGTTTAAGCATGAAAAGACTACCTTTTCTAGTCTATAATAAATATGTAGAATCAAAATGAAATTAGATGCTTAAAACTGAAATCTTACCTGTTCGTTTATTTCTGTCCACATAACAATACTTTAACTCATAGTCTTGTAACAAATCATGAACTTCCTGAAAGAAACAAGACCATGAATTCAATAAATATACAAATGCAGTTAGTGGATAATCCAGTTGTATCAGCCTATCATCACTACCATCACCATCCTCCATGTAAAAAATCATCCATGGATTCTCATTATTTATTAAATTAAAGGCATTCAAAGATTACCAGATATGGTACCAACCTAGCTCTCCAAATATATCTCCCAATTACAACCTCCATGCATAGCCTACATTCCTGCTCAACTGGAATCTGCACTGTGTTATAAGTATACCATGCACAGTCCTCACTCTCTATTTCTGCTCATGCTGGTATCCTGACCTAGCATGGGGTGTCCATACCACCAAAACTCCTAAACCTCACTAGAAATCATATGCATCACTTGAAAGCTCAACTCAAATGTTCTGCCATGATGTCTTTTTAAATATCCCCCACTGAATACAACCTCTCCCTTCTTTGTGATAACAAAGATCATACTTTGTTTATGTCTCTCTTATTGAAATAAGTATTATACTTACTTCTCTTTCTGTGTTCTATACACCGGGCTTTAAACAAATAACACACCTGTAGATGCTTATGAGTGCAATCATGTAAATAAAGGTAGACTGTAAACCTAACTTAGGGAGCCCTGAGTATGAAAACATCTAACAACCACCAAAGTACAGCATACAGTCCAATTTATCCCCCCGGAGCCCCAAATTGTTTCAACTGGCTTTCTGGTTCGTTCTGCTTCTATTACTAATCCAGCCTGAACTATTTTCTTCTGATATCCTGCCCTCCATCCGCCTGGCTGCTTAAAATAGTAGATTTCCTCTCTATTTCCCTTATCCTTCTTGTTAAACTGATAGTACTTGACAGGAACTGTATTTTATATATTTGTATATTACCTGTACTTCTGTGCATAGGTATGCACTGAAATATACATTAAAGTAAATTGAATTTAAATGCTTTGTTACTGCATGGATATTTGGCCCTGAAATTTTTACTCATAACACAGAACAGATGTAGTTATTATTTTTTAAAGGAATTGGACTATCTCATAGGTAGACATTCTAGCCCCAGACTAAAGAGTTACAGTCAACATGTTCTATACTGCAAATTACTAAACTAAACACACACCAGTACTAGTATGTTAAGTTCACAACCTAAAATGCTTGAACTAAAAATAATAATAACAATACTTATTACTATTACACAGGTAACATTTATTTAGCTTTTACTAAGTACCAGTGGAGCCCTCGTAGCACAGGGGTTAAGAGCCGCTCCTTAGAAACCCTATGGGGCAGTTCTACTCTGTCCTATAGGGTTGCTATGAGTCAGAATCTACTTGATGGCAACAGGTTTGGGTTTTTTTTTTTTTTTTTTTTTTTTTAGGTACCAGTAAAATTTTTTAAAAAAGGAAGGCAAAGCAGAGAGAAGTTAAGTACCTTGCCAAGGTCACATAGCTAGTAACTTGCTGAGTGGGATTCTCCCAATCACTCTCACTCCAGGGGCCATAATACTCTTAGCCTCTATGATATCTTGCCTTATTCTTTCCAGTACTAACGTTAACAATAGTATATTACCACTAATAGTTACAAAAACAATACCATTAGTGCTCTAATAAGTGATCATGAGGGTAATATGGAAATGGAAAACAAATAAGAGGACAGTTATAATTCGAGAAATATTTTCCCTGTTAACCCAATGCAGGGGAAAAAACAGTACTATAATAGGCAAAGTATAAAAACATAATGCTGGGTAAAAAAAAGATAATAACTACAATAAGAAAGATAAGAAAGGTAGAGCTGATAATGTAGTAATACTCTTTATAAAAACCTGTTGCCATCGAGTCAAGTGAGTCAATATTAGAAGTATTTTGAAACATATATTTGTCTGTTTTGTAAAATATTGTTTGATGGATTATATAGTACTAAAATCAATTTTACAGATTAGTTTATATATTACTGTGGTAATTTTTTATCTTGTAACCTGCAAGTTTTCTTGGACTTATAAAAACATATACTTGTATACCTCATTAAGAAAACATAACTCTCCATAACCTAACATATACCTCTTGCCAATCATCTAATTGAATACTATTTAGAAGGTAACACAGTTTTGTTTGAAGGGATCCAGTGTGTGCTTTTATTTGCAAAGGATCTAATCTTTCATTTCACTAGTTAACAGCTGTCAAACGCCAAATAAAGAAAACAAGATACTACTCTTTACATTATCAAGTATCCATAAACAAATGACATGTTGCATTACTCATCAGCTAAGACAATTACCTAGCAGAGATCTTAGGTATTTAAAGATGCATTTTGCAACTTAGAAATTTTATTGTGAAAATACTCATGTTTCTAATAATAACTTTTCTATGTATCAGATCTGGGTATACAGTTTGCCAACTGGGAAACCTTACAAGGGTAAAAAAAAAAAAAAAAAAAAAAAACCAATTATTTTTCTCCATTCCCTGGTTGTTTTGACCCAGGCAAAAGTGGGTCACCCCTCAACTTGAGCCTCGGTAAGTCAGTCACATTAAAAACTTAAAACTTGAAAGACAGTCCTGATAACAATTTGCCAAAATTCTACTATGCTCTGTCTCACAAAACTGAAAAAGACTAAAATTATACTAATCCAACTTTATGATATTTTTATCAACTTACAAGGTAATTTTATGGAAAGTAACACCTTTGATAAAAATGCTTTGTCCTTTTACCCTCAAATATTAGTTAAAATTTCCTAAATTAATAAATGTTAAACACAATGGATAAAATGAATAGCTTTATAATCTAGTTCCAGACCAGGTTCACTGTTAACTCCCTGGAATGAACAGTTTTGCACATATGAAACGCGTTCTGCAGAGAGAATCAACAGCTTTCAACTCAAAGCAGCCAGATAATGACCTCCCCTGCCAAATGTTAAATAACCACTGTTCCTGCAGGTCTGGCCTTCTTCCTGAATGAAATCCTGACTTAGTTAGAAACCTGAATCACAATGTCTTCTAGGCCCTTCACAGACTTACTTTTTTTCTTTTTCTTTTTACTTTTATTCTGAGAAAGGCTGTCATGTCATTAAAGTACACTATCTTTTGCAAATTTTCTTTTAAAGTGTTAAGGAATCTGATAATACCAAAGAATATCTGTAACACATATTAAGCTACAAGGCTCAACAATAAAATAAATAAATAAGAACTCACCACCAGATGTGAGGACTAGAACACTGTCAATACTGCTGCATCCACCTGTGTTCCTTCTCTAGCCCACCCCTCCAGTTCCCCGTAGCTTAAGTTCCTCACATAGGTATGCATCCCCAAACAATATGTTGTTTCACACTACTTGTTTTTGAGCTTTATAAAATGGTATTATACTATTTTTAAACTTTTATGTCTTGCTTTTTATACTCAATATTATGCTTCTAAAATTCAGTCATGTTCCTGCATTCATTTATTCACTACTGTTTGATAGTCCATTCTGGGACCATAGTACAATTTGTGTATCCATTTTTCTGTCAAAGAATATTTGGTTAGTTTCCAGGGTGTTGCTGTTTTGTTATTTATTGAAAACAGCTACAATCATATTCTTGTAAAGTTTACATGTCTTCTGGTGTTCATGTGTGAAAATTTCTCAAGAAATGAAATTCCCGAGCTATGTACATGTGAATGATCAACTTTATAAGAAAGTGCCAGAGCGGTGGTGCCAGTTTACATTCCTGTCGACAGTATATGAGTCCCACTGATTGTGTCCTTTCAACGACTGGTGTTATCAGATACTTAAGTTTTGTCAATCGAGTTGATATAAAATTGTATCTTCTTTGGCCTTGATTTGCATTTCCCTGATGAATAAGGCAAAGCACGTTTTCATGTTTACTTGCCATTTTCTCTTCTGAAAAACACCTGATCTCTCTTGCCCATTTTTCTATTGTGTCTGTCGTTGTTGGTTGACTTGTTTTTTTTTTTGTAACATTCTGGATACTAATCCTTTGTCAGTAACTGTATTATCAATGTATTTACCCAGTATATGGTCTGTCATTTTGCTTATTTGTGGGTTTTTTTTTTTTGTAAATAGTATTTATTTTAATGAAGTCAAATTTATCAATATTTTCCTTTACAACGTGTGCTTCTGTGTCTTAAGACATCCTTTTCTACCCAAGGCCATAAAGATATTTTCTTTTGTCTTCCTACATTTTTTAGATTTTTTCCTTTCACATTTCAGTTTTTAGTCAGTTTGGAGTTAGTTTTTGTGTGGTGGGAGAGACTTCTTTCCTTTTTTTCCCCAAATGGGAAACCAATTTTATTTCTTCCATATGGATATCCAACTGTCTCAGCACCATCATTGTAGAGTCCATTCTTTCCTCAATGTTCTGCAAAGCCATGTGTCTCATATATCAAGTTCCCAGATATGTATGAATCTGTTTCTGGTCTTCTGCATCTGCCCTGTTGAACATTTTGTCTATTCTGTGCTAGTACTACATTGTCTTAAATAAGATAGTTTTATAAGTCTTGATATCTGGTAAGACAAATCTCTTCATCTTACTCACTGTCTTGCGACATTTGAGGTTCTGTACATAAAGATTTTTAAAGTATAAATTTTATATAATAAACTACACAGATCTTAAGGGTACAGCTCAATTAATTTGTACATATGTATACACTGGTGTAACCACCACCCAGAACAAGATACAGAACATTTCCATCACCCAGAAGGTTCCCTGTTAGCCCTTCCCACTCAGTTCCACTCCCTGCCACCCACCAGATAACCAGTTTTGAGTGTTCATAAACTTCATAGAACTGGAAATATAAAGTATGTATTCTTTTGTGTCTGGTCTCTTTGCCAACAAAACATCTACAAGATTCACCCATTTTGTTGTATGTATTGCTGATTTTTTCTTTTTTACTGCTGTGTAGTATTTCTTTGTAGGAATACTCCACAATTTGTTTAGCCAATCTCCTGTTGATGGGCACTTGTGTTGTTTTCAGGTTGGAGTTATGAAAAATCAAGCTGGTAATAGAATTGCTGAGTGAAATATA